AAAAGGACATTGGGTTGACCCTGCTTTGAATCTTGCTATCTTTGCATCAGGTCCCCCACTGGCCTTTATTTCTTCACTCCTAAACTGTAACCCTTTCCCCCACCCCATCTATAATATTTACTATTAATGTGCAATGCTGATCCATCTCACAGGCAGTGGCATCACTAGGGTTAGTGTCACCTACTGTGGATGCCCAGAAAGGGCTGCCAGGTGATGGTAGTGGCCAGACCCATCCTTTCTCCCCTCTGCCTTGTTCATCTGCCCGCCCTGGCCAGACAGCAAAAGGGCTATCAAGCAGTGGTGGTAATGGTCTATCCTGCCCTCCCTCCCCTATTGCTACCTTGCTCACCCACCCATTCACTTGCTCACACCCACCTAGATAGGGCTGCCATGGGCAGGCAGGTATCCAGGAAAGTTAGGCGGTCAGACAGAAGGGGCACACATTTGCCCCTTTTTCAGTGCCGTGGCTCCCTTGGCCAAGAGAGCCACAGCGGTGGAGAAGAAAGGATGAGCATCAGCAGTAGCACCACACACCACCAACCCAAAGGATCAGACCAGGTGTCACCCCCTCAAGGTTTCACCTGGAACCCCTCACACCTCTCTAATGATGCCCCTACTCACAAGGCTTTTGTGAAAAGCACTGAGGTAAAGCTATTTAAAAAGCTATTTAAAGCCACTTTAAAAGCTAGATGTTAATTGCATTTTCCTTATTATCCTCCCCAAGCTCTTGCCATGCTTTATCATACTTCCATGTTTGCAGTGGCTGTTGGTCAACCAAGAGATGCAGATGTGGAAGCTGTACCATCAACACTTTTTGTTCATACAGGCCTTTGGCAATTGAGCTCAGTTGCCATGGAAGGGGTTTTTAACACACTAGCTGAGAGGTCTTTCTTCTATTGATTTGTTTTTCAAATGTGCTTTATAATTTTAATTGTATTGATTTGATTTGATCATTGGTAGCTGCACTGACTGTCATGCTTTGGAAGAAAGGGAGGGTATAAAAGCAATAGAGAGCCAGTGTGGTGTAGTGGTTTGAGCATTGGACTAGGACACTGGGAATTCAAGGTTCAAGCAAGGTCCATGCTATTTGAGCATGGAAACTCACTGGGTGACCTTGGGCAAATCACTCTCTCTTAGAGGGTGGCAGTGGCAAACCTCCTCTGAATGAATCTTGCCAAGAAAACCCTAAATTGGGGTCACCATAAGTCAAGAGTTGATTCAAAGGCACAGGACAACAATCACTTCCAAGAATAAATTCAACATATTGTTGTTCAGGTTTGTTTTAAGATCTTATGTACATGTTACTCTTTGTGTGAGTGTGTTTTTGGTGGCAACCTTGTGGTGACGACATATACATCAACTTAAGGTAAAAATGCTTTTTAGTAACCACTTCTATTCTAAGTCCCCACTTTTAAGTACCTAATAAAACATTAGAGAAATTACTTCTTAAGACTATTTCTCCAAGACTGGTTCTCTCCTTTCTTCTCCTTTCATTGATGATGAAGTCTTGTCTGTCCCAACAGGCTTTTGGAAAGTATTAATAAAGGAAGGACTTTTAATAGTGTCCTAGCCTTTTTAACTTTTTAATTTTTGTTCTTTTAATGGTTCTGTTTTCAATGGATTTAATTCTACAGATAAATCCCTTTCAGCAATAATCTTTAGTATGCTTTAACCTCTGTTTTTAACTGTATTTGATTTATTTTTTATAAGCCACCTAGTGTTCCCCATTCCAGGGGAAAATCGGGTAGAAAAGAAAAAGATGAGGAAGAGGATCTCTGGCTAGGGAAGAAATGTTTTCTAGAAGCTACCATCCCAAAAGGTAACATTTCTATATTCAGCATCTAGTTGAAATGGATGTGATTGCATTTGTTTGCACATCTTTGAGTCAGAAGAAGAATTTAGCTGAACTTTATTAACAAGGCTGTACTCAGAGGATTCATTCCCACCATGATTTACATCAATTTGCTGATCGCTTTAAATGTGCCTTGTCCCCATTTGAAATGGTTTCAGATGCAACTGCAATCGTTTGGACTCATTTTGAAGGGAAACAAATGCAAAAAAAAAAAAATGCTCTTTTTAGTCACTAGTTTTTTGC